TTTGCGGAATCCCCCTCATTGCGCCTGATTTGTACGAAGTGAGAAGATGCATCGCAATGACGAACTCTGTCGCATCGAGCACGCCCTGTTGCCTTACGTCTGCTAGGTTCCAGATGCGGCCGAGGATTTCGTTCGGCAACCGTGCACGCTCGAAGATCTGCTTAGCAGTTTCCCCTGTAGATTGCGCCATTGTATGAGCCAAACATGTCCAAGCCCATCGAGCCTTGTCTCAAACGGAAAGGGGGGTATTATCCGTACCTGAAAGGACACCAGTCTTAGCAACGTCAGATTTATCAAACAGCGATAGGAATTTATTCACGTCCTCGGGATTCAACGGAGGGACACGAATAGGACCGCCTGCTGCGGGGGTCGGGCTGGTGGTGCCTGCCTCGCGCGGAGTAGGTGGGCCAGGGGCGGCGGCATCAACGGAGATGCCATCGAATTGCGGCAGGGGACCGGCTAGAATGATTTCTGTCAGTACTTGTTGATAGATGAAGAGGGCGCAGGGCGCAGGGCGCTTCCGAGAGCACTCACGTTGGTAAGCCAGTTCCTCTGTCGGTGCGCGACCCGCTTGAGCATGTCCGATCAAGCGGAGGACGACGCCAAACCCGGAAGGGGTCAATAGACCCCTGTTCTCCTTATCCGCGATCTGCCATATCTATAGTTCGAAGGGAGGTCTGCATTAGCGAAGGGCAATTGCGGGCAGGGCAGGCGACAGGAGGCGGATCGTAAGTAGGCATCGACATACCAAGCCGAGGGTTTCCGGAGCCAATTGGGTCTTTTCGAAGAAAGGCACGGCAACCTCGCCAGTGATGACGCCCAAGTTAGTGGTATCAGCGGCCTGGAAGAGCTGGTAGAAGACGCGCTTTTCTTCGGGGGTCAAATTGAGATTGGGGTGTCGTGCTGCTGGTGACCCGTCAGTTCCGCTGCAACATTAGGGTCATGCCGACCGGGTTGGGCCGTCATCTCCTGAGAGCTCCGGGGGAGGGCAGCTGGCCAGTCATTAGAACTGGGGGAAGAAGCAACTCACCGTTGTCAGCCATGATGGGTATAGCTCAGGAGGAGCGAGCCTCCTTTCTGAGATATTCCAACACTATGCGCCACAAGAGGGAGGGGAGAATAAAACGGAGGGGGTGGGCTGGCACAAAAAAAGTGAGAGACAGTGAAGAGAAGGTGGTCAGGTTAGCTGGGAGAGGGACTACCGACGGGGCCTGGATGGCCAAGGCGGTAGCAGCTCGAGCTAAAAGGGGTGGAAGCAATGGCGATACCCCAGGTTGCAACACAGGGGAATAATGAGCAGAGATTAAATTGAGTCTTATAGGTGAAGTTGAGACAAGAGGGGGAGAAGGGGGAAAGAAAGTGGAGGGGGAGGAGGAAAGAGGGAGGTTGTCGCAAGCTGCGTAATTACCTTCAACTACGTACTACGTAGTACTGCTCCCACTGCTCCCACTGCTCCTACTGCTACTACTGCTACTGCATGTGCCTGGAAAGCTGACAGGCGAGAGTGAGAGGAAGAGGGGAAGGGGGAAGAACTGCCGCTGGCCAGTAGCTTGGCCCGTGCGGGCGGGCGGTCAGTCGGCAGCCCTCTCCGACGTCAGTCCAGTCCCTAGCTAATTTAGATGTTGATGCAGTCAGTTTGCAAGATGCACACAATTGTTCAATACCACTAGCCTCTCAATAGGCTGGTCTCTGCTTCTGAAAGCCTTGAGATGATGTGTCATTTCAACGTCTCCGTTCTCCGTAGTCTCCGGGAAGCACTGGTTACAATACCACTATAGCCTCAGGCAACCCAAAGAAGGCATCCAACAAAGTTACATACCAGCACAGTTTGAAACTACACTTTTCAAGAATCTCGTGCGCATAATTAGAAAGAATCAACCCCTTACCACTTGTCAACTGCAGTTCAGAACCATGGACCTGTGTTTTAGAACGAGGCGAACGTTATATTACAATCTTGCTGGCTTGCACGGGAACGAGCGGGTAAATTTCATCGCTGCTTCAGGGATATTAAAAATATATCAGACAAAAGAAAACATAGTCTGTACTAAGCCAATCTCGTCTCTCCTATTGTATCTGTACGCACAGCCAGAGTCCCGCCGCTCGTCGGGTCTTCCCCGGGCCAGAGTCTGTCCCCAACGGATCACCGCGGAAACAATCAGGGCCAGCCCTGGCATCCAAGCAGACTGCCCCGTCGGACCATCCTCGGGGCTCCGGCCGAGGAAAGTGTCGTCAGACTTAGTACTCAGCCTCAACCTCCTCCTCCAGAGAGTCGCTGGCGACCTCCTCGTAATCGCGCTCGAGGGCAGCGAGGTCCTCACGGGCCTCGGAGAACTCACCCTCCTCCATACCCTCACCAACGTACCAGTGGACGAAGGCACGCTTGGAGTACATGAGGTCGAACTTGTGGTCGAGAGCGGACCAGGCCTCGGAGATAGCGGTGGTGTTGGACAGCATGCAGCTAAACAAGGAACAATCAGCAAAATGGGCTTCGTAGACAAGGGGCAGGGATCGACTTACACAGCGCGCTTGAGGGGAGCGAGGTCGCCGTTGGGGACCTGCTGGGGAGGCTGGTAGCAGATACCGATCTTGAAACCAGTAGGGCACCAGTCGACGAACTGGATGGTGCGCTTGGTCTTGAGAGTGGCAACAGCGGCGTGGGTCTCCTTGGGCACAACATCACCACGGTAGAGCAAGCAGGTGGCCATGTACTTGCCGTTGCGGGGGTCACACTTGACCATTTGGTTGTTGGGCTCGAAGCAAGACATGGTGATCTCGTTGACCGAGTTGGACTCGTGGGAAGCCTTGTCAACAGAGATGACGGGGGCGTATGCGACGAGAGGGAAGTGAATACGAGGGTAGGGGACCAGGTTGGTCTGGAACTCGTTCAGGTCGACGTTGAGGGAACCATCGAAACGCAGGGAGGCGGTGATGGAGGAGACAACCTGGGCGATCAGGCGGTTGAGGTTCTCGTAGCTGGGGCGCTCAATGCCGAGGTTACGGCGGCAGATGTCGTAGATAGCCTCGTTGTCGACCATGAAGCTGCAGTCGGAGTGCTCGAGGGTGGTGTGGGTGGTAAGGATGGAGTTGTAGGGCTCAACAACCGAGGTGGCGTTCTGGGGAGCAGGGTACACGCAGAACTCGAGCTTGGACTTCTTGCCGTAGTCAACGGACAGGCGCTCCATGAGGAGAGCACCGAAACCGGAACCGGTACCACCACCGAAGGAGTGGAAGACCAGGAAACCCTGGAGACCGGCACAGTTGTCGGCCACGCGGCGGACCTTGTCGAGGACCTGGTCGATCATCTCCTTACCGACGGTGTAGTGACCACGGGCGTAGTTGTTGGAAGCATCCTCCTTGCCAGTGATCATGTTCTCGGGGTGGAAGAGACTGCGGTAGGTACCAGTGCGGACCTCGTCGACGACATTGGGCTCGAGATCGGCGTAGATGGTGCGAGGCACATACTTGCCCTGGCCTGATTGCCATAACCTGTTAGTGCACACGAGGGGCAGGATAGCGATGTTAGGAGAGAAGCGTACCAGTCTCGGAGAAGAAAGTGCTGAAGCCGTGGTCGGGCTCAGCCTGCTTGCGCTCCTCGGTCAGGTAACCATCGGCCTAGTGGCGAAAAAAAGCAGCTTGTCAGTAAAGTTCATCTCCAGAAGTGATGGGATCACGCGAAATCCGATCGTAATCGACGTGTTCTTGATTGACTTCACGTACCTGGATACCGTGCTCAAGGCAGTACAGCTAGATGGTCAATACAGTCAGTCCAGCTGTCCTTTTCGGCTTCTGAACACCCAATGTGTCTTTGTGGAAGAGTTTCCATCAGGGTCGACAAGGGAAGAGAGGAAGAAGAGGGGTCAATCTCTTCGAATGCGTAGCATACCTCCCAGCAGGAGTTGGCGATCTGGCAACCAGCCTGACCGACTGTGAGGGGAGAACCAAAACATTAGTCAAACACGCCAGGCAGATCCCCCAAGCGAGATGAAGCGCGGGGGAGCGGGTGAAATGGCAAGAGGGCACAAACCGTTCAAACTAATAACTTCTCTCATTTTGTCGAGTTGAATTGAAGGGTTTCAGATGGCGGGAGGAGGGATAAGAAAGGTGGGTGTGGAATGTGGACAGAGGGAAAAATTAAAATACCCAAGGACGACGATCTGTACGGACGTTTCAGGGGTTCGAGAGTCAGCACCTAAAAGGGCCACACCACCAGAGGCAAGAGGTGGAAAATACAAGTTTGTGGGGGGGGGGAGAATTTAGGAAAGGAGGGAGAGAGGGAAAGGGGAGAAGGAGTTTAAGGGATGAGGGGGGGGAATGGGAGGAACGACTAGCTAACCCTGGGGAAAGAGCACTCACAGGCTATCACGAAGGCTGAATTATGGTCAAAGAGGATGGATTGCCCAAAGAGACCCAGGTTGATCGGTCGACTCGATTTGTTGTGGTCTTTGAATGCGCTGTCAACCCAACACAGTCGGCGTGGTTCTTCCGTCCGATGGGTCGCGTTGCCATTGGGAGCTGCTGATTGGCTTCTGCCTTCCCGAGACCATCAAGCGGTCTGCTGGCTGAGTCAGCGCCCATCTTCAGTCACGTGATACTGTGACGGCATGGTCGATCCCAGCATCATCGAACTGGACGGGTCGGCGATGACGAGGATCGCCAATGGGCTTCTTGAAGTCCATTAGCGAAGAATACATCTTTTCGCCTTCCGCCCAGGATGACAAGAGCTCTACTCTAATATCATACTCTTCCACTCTTCGCATGTCCCACAATCGCTCTATAAACGCCCATCAAGCCTGTCCATCAATTACAGCTCCCGCGCAGCTCCAGAAGCAGTAGCTCTGTATGTATGCCAGCAGTGCATGCACCTCCACTTCCTCAACCCTCTACCAGAAACTGACCTCTGTAGACTACTAATCCAGTGTCATCACTCTTCCCAGCTCCATAATGCTGCGCATATAAGAAAATTAAAAATTTGAAGAAATCACCACAAAGCCACCACCACAATGCACCACCACCTCCTCATCCTCCTCTTCACCACCCTCCTCCTCATCACTCGGCGCACGACCGCCAACGTCGAAAAGACCATCTTCCTCGGCCCCTCCCCTTCCCTGATTCCAACTCTCACGCCTCCCATCGACGACTTGGGCCTCCCACGCTTATCCCCCTCGTACTTCCACCACCGCACAAAGCTCAATGCCTCCTTCCCCAGCCCCGACTCCGCCGGCACAGACTCATGGTTCTTCCTCGAGCATCTGATCCCCGGTAAACGCTATGAAGTACGCATATGCTGGCTAGCCACTGTACGTCTTTCCCTTCCCAAAATTCCTCCAAGCAAACGCAAAAAAACATCCCGCAACGCATCACTAATCACCCACAAAAACAGCAACCAACCTCCTTCCACCTGACAACCTACACCCTTCCGCACGCCCTCGAAACCCCGGACCTCCTCGGCGCAATAACCACCTACTCAACCGCCCGCCTCGCCCACCAACAACACTTGGGCGACAATGACCTCGCCCTCCTCTCCGATCTAGACAAACAGGTCCGGTACAGCCAGAAGAAAAAGCCCACCAGCCCCAAAGGAAGGCACAGCGGCGGGATCGGGATGCTCAGCAAACATTCGCGATTCACGACGGCCAGCAGCAGTCCCGTCGAGGATACGGCCCCGGTCGCGGACTCGGTGCTGTTCCTGCGAGTGCGCGCCGCGGCGGATTACTACTCCACCGATCCGGAGCTCATGGAGACCGTGCCCCCCGTCGTGGTGGATGTGATCCTGGATCCGTATCTGGGCAATGTGTTTCCGCGCAGCTTGGTGCCGACCGCTGGGTGGGTGGTGGTTGTGGCTGGGGTCGCGGTCTTCGTGGCCCGGTGGGTGGTTGCGGAGCTGGGGCGGGTCGTGGATTCGATCGCCTCGGAGGAGCAGGAGCAGGAGCAGGAAGGAGAAATTGGTGGTGAGAGGGAGGCGAAGAAGATACAGTAATCTTTCGCTTCTGATTTAATATAGTCCGATTTTAGTTATGTGTAAATATATCGATTATGATTCAGTACGATAGCGTCAACTGCGTGACTTGGGAAATGTATAGTATAATTGGACGTGTATTGGGAAAAGGCTTGGAATTACATTCATGGTTATGGGCAGCAAGCACTAGGCAAACATAATAACATTAAGATCATTCAATCATGGCATGTGAGCGTCTATTATCACAACACAATTATGTATCATCGGCTAGATCGAAACGAAAGACGGCATCAGGGGGTAGATCGAGCAAACAAGTACCAAAACAGAAGGGGGAATAGTGTAAAGGCGGCAGCAGCAGCAGTAACAACAACCCATGACTGACAAACCATCTTCGAAGGCAGTAAGGAAAAGCAAAGCATCCTCTAATCGGTACATTTGCTTGTACCTTTTAGTAAAGATAGCTTTTCTCTAGAGAAACTCTAATCTTCAAAGAAATGAAGCACGGCCCGCATACCCTTGGTGCCCATGCCATGCGGGGGATAGGCGATGTAGAGCGGGTCGTCCGTGGCACCCAGCTTGGCTCGGAACTCGCTCTTGCGGACCAAGCCGAATTGCTTGGCGATCGTGTCGTAGGTGTGCTGCAACATCTTGATCTTGGGACCCTTCAAGTTGTGTCCTGGTGTGAGCGTGGACATTGCGCCAGCACCGAAAGTCAGAGACTTGACACCGGCAGCAGCCGCCGTCTGGATCGCCTGGGTGACAATATACTCGATGACTCCGTTGGGTGCGCCCGGGAAATCAAAGCTATACTTGATCTGCATGCCGTGCACAGGCGCCAGGGTGGCCAGTGCCACGAAGGCGCAGATAGTGCCAGACTTGTCGACAGCATAGAAATACCAGCGGTGTTCAGGATCGCGCCAAGGACGAATCTCTGACAAGTGCACCTGGGTGCCCTTGCGGTTGTTTAGCCAGTCTTGAATGCGCTGGTCAATCTTCTCGCGCACCTCATCCGACACCATTTCTCCGTTCTTGAGGGCCACCACCTTGACCTCTTCGTTCTCTGCCCGGCGAATCTTGCGGGCAATCTCGCCATCCGTGGCGGCCATGTTGCGCGTGGGATCAACACGCTCCTCGGCAATGCAGGACAAAGTGCGCCAGCCGAGACGTTCACCAAGCACATCTTCAACCTCAGCTGAGCATAGAAGCCAGACAGGCTTGTACTTGGTCTCGCGCCGCAGCCACTGCAGGAATTGGATGATCACTTGACGGTATTGCCGGGTGTCACAGAGGGGATTGCCGGGGATTACCACATAGTTGCTCGTGCTTACGACGTAGGCAATGGCGGCTCCGGTACCCATGTCACGCCAGATCTTGAAACGTTCGTCGCCCCAAGAAGTGGAGGTAGCGTCACCGTAGTTGGCGATAAGGTGCTCGATGGGTTGCAGCTCGCTTTCATTCTCCGCCACACTGGCCTTCTTGTCGCGCACCCACGGAGGTTCAATGGTGGACGATTCGGGATGACGCAATTGCATCACGGGGGGCTTCGCGGGGAAGCTACGGGGATCACGATGGAAGAGGGAAGCCAAGCGGATGTTGCCCAGTTTCAGCAGGAGCATCAGCAAGCGCTCAAGACCGACACCAGCACCCGCGTGGGGGGGGGCTCCCCAGCGGAAACCTTCCATGTATTCCTCCATAGTGTCTGGCTGAATGCCCACGCGCTTCATATTCTCCTCCAGCATGTGTGGGTCGTGGATACGCTGACCACCGGAGACGATTTCCTGGCCACGGATGAAGATATCGAAGGAGTTGGTAAAGCGGCTGTCCTCGGGATCAGGCATGGTGTAGAAAGGACGAGCATTGACGGGGAACTTGTCAAGGATGTAGTAATCAGTGCCGTACTTCTCCTTCACGAGCTCTCCCAAGCGAATCTCGTCGCGGGTACTCAGATCCTCGTCCTCGGGCAATGGGTTACCATCTTCGTCCCGCCAGCCCGAGTCGTTCAGCATCTTGATGCCGTCAGAGAATCGGAGGATTGGGGTCTTCTCCAGCCAGACAACATCTTCAGAGGGAAATTGGTGCTTGATGGTGTCGACTTCGCGCCGGAAGCGGCGGTAGACACCTTCCAAAATGCTCTTGATGACCGTGTCCAACACCTCGAGCATCTCATGGTAGTGCTCCTCAATGGCCATCTCAATATCCAGGCCCGTGTATTCAGTCAGGTGGCGGTGAGTGTTCGAGTTCTCCGCACGGAAGACGGCACCGATCTCATAGACTCGACCGAAGTCAGCCGCAATGGCCATTTGCTTAGCCAATTGCGGACTCTGAGCCAAGAAAGCATCCCGACCGAAGTATTGCACATGAAATACACTAGCGCCGGACTCCGTGGCGGAACCTTGCAACTTGGGGGTGTGAATCTCAATGAAGTTCTGTTCGTCAAGGGCAGTGCGGAAGAGGTTTCCGATGGCGGACTGGATGCGGAAAATGGATTGAGAGGTGGGAGTACGCAAGTCAAGCAGACGGTTAACGAGACGAGTTCTATCGGGAATGCGACTGCGTCGCCCCTCAACACGTTCTTCCTCGGCAGTCTGGATTTCAGCCTCGTAAACACTGAAGGGAACGGGCTCCTCGCGACGGACAACGAGATGCAGCTCCTTGATAGCAACTTCAACATCATGAATGGTGCAGCCCAAGACGGGGACCTGCGGCGCCTGAACAACGCCCCGAACCCGAACAATGCTGCCCAAGCGAAGATGTTCGGCCCAATGAACCATTGCTAGGGAAACCACGCCTGGTTCATCATGCAGAACGCCCTGGAAGGTGAATAATTGCTGGCGAAAGACCAAGAAGACCAACTTGGCGCTCATGCGACGGATGATGTGCAGGCGGGCCGTGAAGTAGACTTCCTGGCCAACCAGAGAGGTAGAAATGTCCACGAAATTAGTACGTAGCTCATGAGTACGGGTTCGAGATTGCATGAGGGGTAATTCGCCATATCGAGCCTTCATCTCGGCGGTCTCTTCGCGGGCGGCAGTAGCAATCTCCTCCTTGTGACGCATGTCCGAATCCTCTGAGTGACGATCCTCACTGAGGCGCGAACTTTCCTTGCGCTGTTTCCGGGCCAGGCGCTTCTGTTGGTTTTTGCTCATTCCCCCGGTAGCAGAGGAATCGTCCGAGACATCATCGGAGGAGGAAACATAGTCGCGATCGCGCAGGATGTTGCTGAAGATGCTGCGACGCGGGGAGAGAGACACGGAGGGGCTACTGTGGCCATCCTCCCCGGTGGACGTTCTGGATGTTTTGATCTTCGAAAGAGCACGTTTGATTGACATGGTGAGGGGTGGTTCTCCCAAATGGGAGGAGAGGAGAGGAGGGGTATTAGTGTTATGGAAGTGGTGATGGGAAGAGGGAGTTAAGTAAGACGAACAGGAGGAGGAGAAGGAGGAGGGAAAGGGTAAGAGAAGGAAGATAATTAACTAGAGGTACTTAATAAGACTTAGAGAATTAAGCAGAAGGAGGGGCTGGGCGAACGAAAGAGGGGAGGGGAGGATGCAGTGAGCGTTTTAATACGAAGAGGAAACAAATCGGGCCCAACCAGGGTCCAGATGCTTACTAGGTTTATTAATCCTCAAGTAAGTCCAATTCGAAGGGAACCACGGGTGGAGCAGGATTCAAGCAAACAAGCAAGAAAGCTATACGTAGTAGCAGAAGAGAAAATAAGCAAAAGACAAGAAAAAAAAAGAGGGAGCACAAGCCACGAATGGAAGATCAGTGTTAACTGTGTTGCGTGGGAAAAGTTGCTGGAAACCGCAGAGACCGAGGCCGGCGGCAAGCCATGATGTCATGTGAGAATGATGAAAGAGTGTCGGAACGGCGATTTCTTTCCTTTTTCTCTCTCATTCTCTAGCCTTTCAGCCCTAAGCAACAACAATATCCCTTGTCAAAACCGGAATCTTTGAAAACTATGATGTGATCCAAGACTTTAGGTTTCTTCCTCGTGGTCGTTTTGCTCTTTTGCCCTTTGGCTTCGTCTTCGTCGCATTACTTCACTCCTTGAATGCTTGTCTATCAATCTACGGATACTCCGTATACTGTAAAGTACTATTATTATTGTACTGTACTTTCCCGCTGCCATTCCTGCATTAGACGCCCCATGCTTGGCATCAACTGATCACCATTCCATCCTTCCCATCTCACCACATCCTCCATTCTCATTCTCTCTCTCTCTCTCCGTCACTCTCTACCTCTCATCCAGTTTCTCGCTGGGGATATACTGGATCCCTCCTCTTCCCCATAACATAACCTTATTCTTCCCGTGCATGCTTGAATCGTCACCTACCCAATCAAGCATGGCTCACTCGTCCCGCTGGTGGTTGTATGTCCAGGCCATCTTCTGGCGGTTCCTCATGCGCATTGGCATGTTTATCCACGATGTCCTACCCCCACGTCCCTCTCGACCAACCTTTCGCCGTTCCTTTCCCTCCTTTGAATCCGATTCGCATTCCGCGCGGATCCATCTTCATTTCTACTGCCCAAAGGACTACCAAGTCGCTAAAAAAGAAGGCCGCCGGCTTCCGGTTGTCGTCAACTTCCACGGCGGCGGGTTCACCCTCGGCCACGCCACCGACGACAGCCGCTGGGCGCAATGCATCTTGTCGGAAGTCGGTGCCGTCGTTGTGAGCGTGGGCTATCGCCGAGCCCCCGAACATCCGTTTCCCGCGGCCGTGGACGACGGGGTGCGCGCACTGCAGTATCTCGCCGCCCACGCCACGGAGCTGAGTCTAGATGTCTCCCGGATCGCCCTCAGCGGCTTCTCGGCTGGCGGCAACTTGGCGGTGACCGTTCCGCTCCGTCTCCGGGGCCTGCTGAGCCAACAGAACTCCAACAACTCCACGTTGTCGCATGTGATTCACACCGACTCCTCCCAACATCTCGTCCAATCCCCTTCCAATGAGCTCAACATCGTCGCCCTCTTCTGTTGGTACCCCATCCTCGACTTCGAGCAGTCCCGAGATCACCGTCGCGCCATGAGCCTCATGCCCAGCAAGACCCTCCCGGCCTTCTTCACCGATCTCTTCGATGAATCTTACCTCCCCGACCACGCCGACCGCCGCTCGCCCTACGCCTCGCCCGTGCTCGCCTCAGACGAGATCCTCGGTGACGCGTTGCCGCACGACATCTTCCTCTACATCTGCGAATGGGACATGCTGCTCAAGGAGGGTCAGGTGTTCGTGCGCCGCCTGCAGAAGATCCAGAAGCACGTGCGCGCCATGATGATCGAGAAGGTCCAGCACGGATGGGACAAATCGCCTAATCCATTCCGGGATCAGGATCGGGTGGATATCCTCTATCAGGAGGCTTGTGCCGCCATGAAGCGTATCTTTGAATCGTAAGAAACAAAAGAAGAGTAGAGCAACCCAAAAGAAAGATGGGCTGTATCCGTATACTTACACGCATGCGCATACACAGCAGCTGAGTGTAAGACCTATTTCTTGTTTCTTTTCTAGCGATGAGCGGGTTTGTCTATTCTTGAAGCGGTTTATTCTTCTTGGTGGGAAGCATCTGTGATTTGCGATGGTTGGAACCGGCGTCATTACTTCGTGGGCATTGTTATGTGTATATATGTATGCTCGCTGCTTTTTACATGTTTGTATTGCTGCGATGCAGTGGACAGGCATGATATACAGGGTTCTTGCATATGAATGATATCGCTATGGAAGATTCAGGAACATGCGGAAAATAGTCCCGTAGCTCGGATATATATATTCCTGTTAGCCCACGTAGTGACCCGCGAAATATGCTTAAAACAGTACCGATCTACCTCCCATACAATGTCAGCCCAGAAGACTCGATATTCTTGACGTCTATACCCATGACCAGTAATTCTAGCTGGGCGGGTCATGTACCCGAGTCGAGTGCGATCAAAACTGGGGTGATCCGAAGCTTAGCGCGGGCCCTGGGAACTCCATCGACCTCAAGTGCCTGTTTGTAGGCATATGAGCACTCAGTAAGGCAGCAGACCTGAACTGTGCTGTTCTATCCACCGCCAACGGGAGTGTCGATGCGACATTTGAATATTCTAGGAGGGGTCGTATAAGCACCTGGAAGTGTACCACTCATTAACTTAGTGCCTTGCTCCCCTCTCCCACCCTCTCTTCCCTCCTGCCTTCCTCCTTGCCCTCTCACCTCCATTTACCATCGGTGTCAAGCGTCAACGCTTTTGCATTTCATCCAAGTCTGACTACTCGAATTGCCTCCTTTCATCTGCCTATTTATTCCGCGATATTCGAACCCTTCCCCCCACCCCCACGAGATCAAGAGCAGAACGACAACTACATCTCGTAGTTCAGGGGCGTGGTGTAGTGACAGAAGTCATAAGCCACCGAATCTTTTTTTCATGCCATCAAAGCTCTCGTTTCTGATCTCTTCACGTCCGGAAGCTTTCAACCTGGAGATATTGACTTTATGCTATCGTATACGTACACATCGGCAGACAATGGCCATGCTCTGAGAGGTCTGACTGGCCGGAACATCTACCTCTTGGAGAGAGAACGCTCGGGACAGTACTTCGAGAGGCTCCAGAACACCTTGGCCAACCTCAATCTTCAAGAGGAAGGTGAAGGGTAAAGCGCTTCATGCCTCAAGTCAACCTCCCAACTTGCGGTCCGCTGTCTTCTGACATTTAGAGTAACGCCTCACGCGTCATCACAACACTCAACGATGCGAGCTAAATGTGGCTATCCTATCTCTATCGTCAAATCACACCTCGAACTCTACGCTGACTATATATAACCTTATAGCAAGAGAATTTGCTGCCTGCCACTCAGCCCAGGACCGTTTCCGCTGAGAAGGGTGAGACAGAACATTACGGGGAATCAAGGATAATCTAGCGAACAACAATTCCACTTACGTTAAACTGCCTTGTTCAACCTACGGACTCATTGAGATCGATGAAAACAGCTGCGCAAGGCTAACTAGGAGATCCAGTCTGGCACGGTTGGCTACTACCTCGGTCTCCATCAGCTGTTCATGATGAGGAACGGATTCGTGGAAACTATAGAGCTTATGATCGACAGCACAACTGCCAGGTATCTAACACGCATAATGAACCAACCACTTCTGTTTCGAGGGCTGTTTTTGAGATCAATATCCTGAGATTCGTGCACAAGACAGACCTCTTTAAAGGAGCGTACGGCGTATCTTCCGCGGCTACAGCTCACAAAGCATGGCTCTTCACTCCGCACAGCGCCCAGAGACCATCCTAAATGCCCTTCGAAGACTTGTTTGCTTGTGAAGTCCCATTGATCAACTTCACATCATAAACACTACTTGACAGCCATCCAGCACTCACTGCAGCACACTTGCCAGTCACCAATCAGTCATTGTGTGAAACTGACGGGTCCTTTGTCGATGGTCTGAGGCTTATCACTAAGGTGCAGCCGGGCTCGTGGTCTGTACCTGGGTCATGGTTCATCATGTCTGCAGAATCACTCTCTACTCGACTACCGCGTGCTTGTGTTCCTGATTTTTGGATGCATATAAAACATGCATGTCCTATCGTCGTGCCATTGTGTGTTAGGCAAGTTTGACACGTGGTGGGGACTGCTATTTATTCCGACCAGCTTTATCTCGTAGGAGGCAGTCAAATTCAATGTGAATTGACATACCTTGCATTCGCCTAGTCGAATAACAAAGCAGAAGTATAGATCGCAGAATATATCCGCGGCAGGGCTAGTAGGGTACGTACCGTAGATCAGTCTGGCGCATCGAGCTCATGAATATTCCACAAACATCTCGTCTAGTCGCGAGATAATTGCGGTAGAAGGGGGGGGGGGTGGGCCAATAAAAGGAAAGATAAAAAAAAAAGCCCTTACATCAAATCATCAAGTCCGCCACGGAACATTGGCCTCAAGAAGACGGTTCAAAAAGGAGAAAAAGAAAAGGGATAACCTCGCCCGATACGAGGCTCGAACTCGTAACCTTGAGATCACTATTATGACTCCCAAACGGGAGATGTCATAAAAGTCTCACGCGCTGACCAATTGTGCCAACCGGGCCTGGTTGGAGAAAACGCCGCCCATTAGAAAACATATGGTAAGCCTAACGCAGGGGCGGCAAAAGGACACAAAGTCCAAAAGGGTCAAAAAGGAAATTGCGCCCCGTGTGAGGCTCGAACTCACAACCTTGAGATTAAAAGTCTCACGCGCTGACCAATTGTGCCAACGGGGCGTTGGTTGGGATACCTGTCAAGTACTAAGTACTATACCATGCATACGTAGATAGTGGTAATTCGAACTGGCGCTGCGCACTCATTGGAGAATCAAATGCCCTTGCACCAGACCTCTTTCCTTCTGCCTCTCCCTCTTTTATTCTAGTCTACTCATTTCCTACTTTTTCTTCAGATTTACCAAAAGCCCGATAATGCCACTCTTATGAATAGGACAGACATACTGCACAGTATCACCAATATAGACAGCAATGCAGCCCAGCCAGCCAGACCTTCCTTTCGCCAGGCATAAGAGTGACCCATTCCGGCCCAGCTGAAAGAAATTCGCATAGAACCTTGCTACATCGAATCTGATATCGACATAAGGAGGTGGGGTAGCAACTTGGGGCGGAACTACTCTACTTGTCACAGGATAGGTGGCCGATTATAGTATAAGAATACCCACAAAATAGGCTGTCAAATGATGGCAACTCGTCTAATTCTTCATACAGCAGCAGTACGAACACAATTATTCAAGCGGGCATTTCTGTTCTATTCTTCCCACCGCCTCCACCCAGGATACAATCCATCCATTCTTACTTGATTCCTTCGGTAGAGCATGCTTGTATTTATTTCCCCCCATCCCCATTACTGTTACATCAAGGAATCTCCTACCGGGAGATGTCTACATATCCGCGAAGATCTACAAGAACATACCCTGTAGTGCACGCAAGCAAGGAAAAAGCAAAACAAAAAGAAAAACCGCCCGATGCGAGGGTCGAACTCGCAACCTTCCGATTAAAAGTCGGACGCTCTGACCATTGAGCTAACCGGGCAATTCGTAATCAGTTTTCACAAAAAGGTCTATACAGCCTGGGGCAATGTTGACGGAGCCCTGTCCTGCAGGCGAACTGGTTTCTGCAGCGACAATATGAGACTAGAAGAACAATTGGGGGAAGACGTCAGGTAGACTTGAAGATATCATCTAATTGTCTATGTAGATGAACTTGTTTCATACCAAAATCAATCTCACATCATATATTCGGCTTCATCACCCCCACCCATAACAGGACAGAAAATCGACAAAGCGCATAGCCGACATGGTCAGGTACCCCCTATGCATCGAATGACATCAGTTCGCAAAAGCAGCTGGCTAGAACGCAAGAATGAAAGAAAAGGACAACCAAAATCGAAACGAGAAGATCTAAGAGAAAAAAAAAGGGTATTGGGCTCGCCAAGCACAAGAAACACAGATCAGCGCTTTTGCTTTTCTTCGGTCCTTCACCAGAAAACACTTTTGTTCATCCATTACATATCGTCATCAGTCTCGGTCCCAACGCTCAAGTCGTCGTCGGACACATCCTCATCGTCATCTGCCTCACTGTCGTCCTCGTCATCCTCTTCATTATCCAACCCCGGAATACCCCGCCACTCGACGTAGTCACCCTCCAGCCAGCGACGACTGCGAGGGAGTTGGTATGGATCGAAGGGGAAGTAAGAGTCCGCTTGATAACCGATGTCATCTCCTGCGCGGATCTCACGCTCCACTTGGTGGAAGCGCGGGTCCGCCAATGCAGACAAACTGCGATAGGTCGAAATCCGAACGCGCTTGTTTGTCTCCAGGATGCTGTACACATACATCAGGTTGAAGTGTTGAGACATCCGGGCGAACTGTGTCACGATTGCGGGCGAGCACACTTTGAGCGGGTTGAGCTTTGAGTAGATAGTTTGACGAAGCACCTCCTTGACCGAGGGCGGGAATAGAATGTCTTCCGGTTCCAGTTCTTCAACTTGCTCTGGCGTGTCGCCTTCAACTGCCGCCGTGGTCAGGTCCCGCCAGCGGAAACAGAAAATATAGAGCAATGCCTGGGATATCGAGTAGAAGAGGCCGTACCGTCGGGGGTCGGGTCCCCGGCACGTGTCCTCGAATTCGTTACGGAAGCTGGTCAATTCCGCACCTAGCAGGTCGAACACATCTCGCGCCATCTCGCCAGAGATATGGGCGCCACGCGCGACAAGACTAGCCAGATAGGCGACAGCTGATTGCCGCAAGATGGCCGGTTGCCTCCGGTTGGTCATAGTGTGAATACAGGTGGAAGCGAAGCGTTCCGCGAGCTCGGGAGATGTTTGGGAGTAGTGGAAAAGGAGAAACTGAGTGTGGCGGGAGCGGTGGTTGGGAAGAATAATGGTTTGAAAGTGGCTCAACAAGAGCTCGAGGGCATTCTCCTTATCCTGAAAGGAGCCGGATGCGAACGCCGGTGCGTAGTATTCGAATAACAAATCGATCATGCCGTCCAGCTTAAGGATGTTGTCGCGAACGGTCTTAATACGCTGAGAGTCGTCGTCTACAGACTCATCGCTCAGGACGGAAGCGTCGTCATCGTCATCGTCCTCCTCCTCGTCGGCCATGATAGCCTCTGGCGAGACGCCGCGCAAAACGTCTTCGCCTACTTCGTCCTCGATTTCTTCCAAATCAACCTGGATCTGAACGTCAATCTTGACGACTTTCTCTGTGATCAGAGCTAGAATGTCTGCTTGCAGCTCCGGTGTATAGCTGCTGATCTTGAGCAAGTTGCTCGTGTAGGCAATATTGGCCTTGGCAGAATCCGTATCGAAGGGGAAATGCACGGACAAGATTGGGGATAACGATCCACTGCCAGACGGGATTAACTGCATGACATAGCGTAGGGCCATATGGACTCGCATGTAGATCTCCGACCCTGGCACAGGGACGTAACCCGGCACCTTGCCAGTGTCCTTGGGAAGCTCGCCCATGTAATTAACCAGCATCTTGAGCACTGGTCCCAGATAAATGCCCTGGGCGGCAGCAAGATTACCAAGGAAGCGTATATACAGCTTGATATAGGACTCGTCGCGACCAAGCCACACACTATTCAGCACAGCCTGGACTAGCCCGTTGCAACTGCGATCTAGCGCGGCAACGTTTGACGAGAGACCCATCAGATGATATCTCAAGGATGTGGGTGTAGGTACATCAGATAGAAGAATGTGGTCCTCATCCGGGCGCCGAGGGTCCACCGAGAAGAGCTCCTTGATCCGGTCATACGCCTCACTGTCGGTGCCAGAGACATGCCGTTGGATGGCCCGGCGCACCTCCTCTCGGACCACCGAGGCACTCTTTTCTGGTTTTGACTCCCGCTCGGGCGCTCTCTCATAGTATGAAAGTTCGCGCATCTCCACCTCCGGTTCGAACTTGACCCTAGCTCGCTTGCGAGGACTGGGGTTAAATTCGGCCTCGGAGGTTAGCGACGAAGAGGGTGACAGAGAGAGATCGTCGTCTTCCATCCTGCGCTTTATGCCGATCACTGAGTTCTCTCGTTTGGGTGTTTTCAGAATGGGCACGGGGGACGCTTTGGCTAGCATCTTAGAAGGATTGGTCAACGGCCTGCGCGAGGCGGTGGCAATGGATCCGACCATGACCGAACTGATATTTCTATGGAAGGATGAATGCAAGGGTATTGGAACAGTAACCGGATTCCATTCAGGACGAATGAAAGAAGGGCCTGCTCAGCGTGGGGGAGATGACAGACGAGAGCTGTCGACAGGTCAGACGGTGGATGATAAACGCGATGCACACGACACGGCTGAGGCAAGTCGCTCAGTGAGCCTCGGACGTTGCTACAGGGGATGGACACAGTAATAATCAAGGAAATAAGCACCTTGATATATCCATGAAAAGACACACACAGCGCCAGGACAAGGGGAGAACGTGGGAGATGGGCGCAGGTAGACTTCAGCAGAGGGGAGAACGGCTGGAAGAGGAGAGGGAAGATAGGAACTTGAACGCAAGGCGGAGAAGACGTAGAAGAAACACAGCATGAAATTTTTTGGGTGTGGGGCGGATGTGGAGCCTGAGGCCGCTACCCCGTGACTAGCGCGTGACCCTCGCGCCTGAGGCCTTGCCTACTTGGGACTTCGGGGCATAATCCGTATGTATGTTTCCGGTTGGAATCTGTCTCTTCGCTCCACTTTCGGCCTCAATCTGATCTACATCTCGACGCTTTCTGCACGGAACATGAAAACTTATTGCATTGGGAATGGGCAAGTATTCACTAGCAAAAAGCAAACCACTATTGGCAGAAATAAGCAGAGATAGATACCATGGTCGCATTCGCTTTAGCACAGATTGACATCTCTATCAGACAGATATGCAATGTTTCACATGACAGCCACAATACACAACAGACCAAGGAGAAACAAACATGGGACACAGACAATCACAATCCTCCCGTGGTATATAGCAGATGAAGGTTCAAAACGGCAAATATATGACAAGACATTAAAAGAGTGAATACGAGTGGGTCATGACACAGGCTAGCACCTGATTAAAAGAAAGGGATAATCCAGTACCCAGAAGAAAAATGCCATCTCACTGGACAGTGGCCATCGGAAAACGTAAAGGAATGGAAAGGAGCGCCAGCTGCTTAGAGCCAGGTGCCAGAGGCTATTGGTCCTAGCCGATCATCGAACACGCTCCCATAGAAGTCTTCAATCTCAACCAGATACTCATCAACAGTGAACTTCCTCAACCCTTTGTCTCGCAAGATCAGTTCTTCCTCATCGAGCACGCGCGTACCACCGAACTCCTCGACGACCTCGTTCACCTGCTCAAGTTCTTTGCTAAAAGGGTGAGGTTCCATGTGATAAGCCTCAGAACCTTGACGAACAGCGGAGGTGCTGCGTGTCGAGTTCAAGGGAGGTGGTGACAGTCGAGACACAGATCGTTTGCGGGCTAGCTCTTGATGCGAGCGCTTCGTATGAGACAGAGCGCGCTTGGGTACTAGAGGTGCCTCCGCTGAAGACGCAGTGGATGTTGAGGAACGAGGAGTGGTGTGGCTGCTAACAGTCGCTGAGCGCTTGGGAAAGTAAGTGGGTAGAGGGGCGGGATCGGCATCAACGGGGGATTCACCCGGCGTTGTGACAGGCGATCCAAAGCTTCGCTGTGTAAAGGAGACATCTGAATCATCGGGCCACTGAATTGAAGATGTTGAAGAGGAGGACGCAGAATGAAGGTCCGGAGCATTGTAGGCCAGCATGTTTGTGGTCGACAATAACTCAACGGGCGCAGAGATTTTGCCTCGGTTGATAGTGCCTGCACTGAACTTAGAATGTCCCTCACGGTAAGGCATCGGCGCGGAAACCTCAGGGCGCTTGCTGCGCTTCGTGAAGGCCCTGGTGAGAGTCGACATGGTGGTGGTATTCGGGATCTATACGAACAACAGACGGATGATCAATCGGTGCTGATAAGGGCCGATCTATCCAACTGGAACAGTCGGCCTATTTGTTTGTGTGTCGTTTGCTTCCTTGATAAGAAGATATGGATTTTGCCGTGGACGTTGTCACCTATTTTTAGACGCTTTCCTTCAAGTACTCAATTCGTTTGCAAAAGTGCCGGTCGCTTTGCGTGGAATAGAGCGAGAATGTGTAGTGGATGATCGCGGGGTGGCGGAGACCAAGAAGGAATGGAAGATCGATTGCCGGAATGTCCGTTGTCAGATACGACTGAAGCGCTCTTGAAATTCCGAAATGAGATCGAATCAGTAGAGGTTTCCGATCGAAAGGTTTTGTGTATTTCTTCCAGAATAATTCGTGCACAGCAGAAAGGAAGAAAACAGTTGATCGGATGGCAAATAGGATATTCGGAAAGGATGGACTGCACGACTCAAGGGGGAGCCGACGACTTCAACGCAGCAGCACCGAGATGTACAGAGAAGTTCCGGGCGGACAACCAGGACGCGCCACGGAAGAGAATAGAATTAAGAAGCCTTTCGAGGTATGAAGGCAGGAAAGGAGGGAAAGGGAAGGAAGGGGATCCAGGATTCTCTGATCGAGGATGTAAGAATCAAAGTACGAGAAAGGAACGGCAAATAACCCCCAAGGAGGAATGGAGGAGAAAAGAAAGAGGGGAAAGAGGAGGAAGAAGACGAGGCCCGGGGAGGAAGGAAAGAAAAGGGCAGACGACGGACGGGACCGAAGGAGGAAAGCATAGGAAAGAGGCAACAGTCACAATCGAGTCACTAGTCAACTAGTAACGTTATTGGAAGGGGGGATGATCTCTCTTTGCTCCCTTTCTCTTTTTTTCTCTCTCCTCTTTTTGCTCTATGCCATAAATCGTACCGTACTATCCTCCTCTCTGGTGCCTCCCTCAGCGCTTTTAAGCTCCACTTGATCTCGCAGAACAAAAGGTCTGGGCTGTTCGAGAGGTCAAATTGGTGGGTGGTTCCGTGGATAATCAAACCCTGCGCGCCAAACCTCCGGCCCAGTAAGGTTCAATTGCTTGCTTGCAATGCCTTTTGTTCACCTGTGGTTCGGCTTAGTTTTGGCGCTGGTTTAGGCCCAGAATGGGGAACAATGGACCTTCCAGAAAGAAAGAGAATTCGCCTCTCCAGCCGTTCGTGCCTCTCTTTGTGAAAAAAGTCGATCAAAGAGTCTGGTTCGGTCGAACCACCGGTTCGTTGCTGGGGTTAATATTTGATCGAACCAGCAACACAGCAGAGGGAAAGCCCAAGAATTGGGATCTTGCGAGGGGACTGACTGACTGCATCATTCTTGCCCAAATAGTACGTTGCGCTCAGTACTCACCTTTCTTTTTTTTGTTTCCGGTGCTCCGACGGGCAGCGCAGGCAAGTCAGGCGCGGCTAGTCGTGCGCTGCGATTTGCTGCATAGATCGAATAGTCTCGACCTGCAGGAGTGTTCATCAAGATTCCACAGTACCAAATCGGCCACGGCAAAGGTGCTACGCCCGGTGGCCAATGATACATGAGGCGTCGAAGGTGGGGTACACTGGACTTATCCAGCATGACATGGAGACCATAACTATAATCTACGATGTAAGCTATGGGTTTATACGAGCCATGCT